AAAAACATGTATTGTTGGGATTTTGATGTTGGCTATTGAATACATTGTGTATACAAACTTTCGCTCGCATAACTCTTACCAATTGTGAGTTACACTGACACATGTAGTATGCCCATTATAACGTATTGCCCATTATAATGTATTGCCTGGGGCAATGTTGTTGTTGTTTACAGTAAACAACATTGTTTACAAACAAAAAGGTATGATGAGTCCCATGTGGTTATCGATACGCACATTCCTACAAAATTTCATGGCTTTATCTCTTTCGGTTTTTGAGTTACGCTGGTCGAAGAAGAAGAAGAAGAAGAAGATGAACAAAACTCTCTATCATAGCCCCATACATCTATGATGCTAGGTACCACGTCAATCCCTATATACTAAGTACTACCGTACTTAGTGATAATATGTGTAGCTTCCACTGGTACACCCAAGTACAAAATGTGTAGGCACCACATACGTATTATGTACGTGGTGCCTATATACGGGATAGGCTCACCTATAAGATCATCCCATCCTGCAGATGTATGTATAAAAAATACATCCCAGTTGAGTTTTTTCTCAAAGAGTGTAGATTCCCAATGGCCTATATTTATAAGTATTATATGCATGACTGTCTGCGTTCGTACGAATAGTATGTACATTTTAGCTCATCCACCCTACTTGCTGAGTTACCCTGGTCGTAGGCCAGCTGGAAGAGTGCTTGTCTGGAGTGCAGAGTTTCATGCATTCGAATCCCACCTAGGGCAGCTCTTTTTTCCTAGGAATAAATTAAGTTGTCCTGGGTGTAACTGATTGTTTGCCTTTGCTTTGCTTTGACTTCATTGTTACACATGCATTTACTTGGCTTGGAGTGAGCGTCTTTGGTGGTTTAATTGCCCCGGTCTGCTCCTATCCCTTTAAAAAATAAACAAGCATGTTCAAGCTTGAATAAACCTATAGAACTGTCAAACTTGAGGCAAGCTATATGCAAGCTTGCCTGGCAAGCTTGTAACAAGCTTGAATAGCAAGCTTGTATTTTGAATATTCAGCAGTATATACCCTTTGAAAAATAAACAAGCTTGTTCAAGCAGGTCTAATGTATGGTCCAAGTTTAATACAGGCATGGACAAGCCTGATCAAGTGTAAGTCAAGCACGTTACAAGCTTGCCTAACTTACATCAAAATGTTAAACAAGATTTAAACGGAACTACAGTCATTGGTGGCAAGCTTGAAACATTATATTAAGAGTGAGAGTATACTGTGCCGTAGCACAGTGGTTTCAGGTTTGCCTCTTTCCTATGTTGTACATGTTGTAGATTTGTAGCCGTCCAGCTTCATTATACTACACACTGATCACAGTTTCTGTGGTTTATAAACTTAGCCCTGAAACCTTCAGCTTGTCCATTCATACGTAGCTATGTATGTATGTGCACTCTAAGAAGGGAATCTTGAGCGTGACTATGGGGCAACTGTGATGCGCACACAATCAGGGTTCTCTCATGATCTATACTTCTTAGGTGCAACTGAAGCAGCACGGGCATATTTAGCTCTTCAGAAAAGAAATGAAGAGGTTGGTGTTCAAATCTGTGACATTTTATAATTTTATGTAGAGTATTGCATTTATTTTACCAGATGTGTATACATGAGCTGAATGCAGCCAAAGCTGAAGCCTGCAGAAAACGACCAGAGTTGGAACTTGAAAGCCGTGACTTGGCGTAAGACTTTTGCAGTGTTCCATATTTGTGTCATTGAAGATGCTAGCCCTACATTGGTATTCTAGGCCATTATTGGCGAGTGGAAAGAAGCCAAACCTAGTCGTTCAAGCAGTGAGATTACAATTTATAGCATTTTAGGGCTCAGACTTGACCAGCATTTCAGGGCTTGACACTGTATGTCAACATCTTGAAGTAATTGTTCAGCACAGCCATCAAATAAGCATACTCCCACATACAATTGTAGTCAACCGTTTGCTTAGACTTGACTCCATGGGCAAGAAAATTACTTACACTGGTCGCAGTGTCTTTCTGCACACTAGAACTCGATGTGGTTAACTCAGTGTTGTCTTGTACAGTTAAACTGGGCGCAGTGCTGGCATCGTTTCGTGTAAGACTGGTATGTAACTGACGTTGGGGTTGTCCTTGTTACAGCAATCAGGCTCTAGACCACTGAGTTCACTGGTCCCACGCTTACTGCACCCCAGACTGGATGTGGATCAGATGATGCATGAAACATAACTAGCAACCTTTATTTGACCCACACGTTACATTTCCATGTGCTGTATGGTGCGAAATTACCAATGAAGTTAAAAGCGCCCCTCTTTACCCCTTTGAGAAAATGGATGCTGCTAAGTCTAAGTATTACACCAGCTGACAAAGATGATTCCTAGCAGAGATATCCGTGGTGTCTGCCTGTTCATACGTTCACACGCATTACAGGCACCTCACAGATGGGGATAGGATAGTCAACTAACTTACACTTATGTGTGAGTCATCATATCATGAGCAGAGAAAGAAAGTATCACTTATGTATGTTTAATTTTGTTTTCAGGCATCAAATCATGAGCAGAGAAAGAAAGTATAGGGAGCAAGTCAGTGATGTCAATGAAATTATGACCAACAGATCTAAGTGAGTTTTAGATTGTTCACAATTTCATTTATTGTCTCTTAAATTTCTGTAGAGTTAAGATTAGCTTGAATGAAACTGAAGCAGAACTTCAATCAGTCCTTGGAAAGGTATTCATTGAATTTGTGCTTAATAAAATGACACTATTTGTGCTATGTGCTTTAGACTCAACAATGTGAACAAAACAGATTGCGGTTAGAGGAAAGGACCAAGGAGTCTTTGAATGAGTTTGTAACGGATATGAACGGTCTTTCCACTAGTCTGGTGAGATCCTCTAATTCTTGCCATATTTTAATCAAACACGAGTACTCCATTGTTGTGTTGACTACCATGTATGACCAGGCCTGTTGTGTTTGCAAGCACTATCACTTGACATTCACTATGAACACGATGTTAGAAAGTAAACTTTGGAGTCTCCAACACCAACCCTAGAATTATCTGGAGTTGTTTAGTCCATCCCAGGGTTGTGCCTTCATCTCTATTAATGAACGATTATCTAAAACAAGCTGGTTAAAGGGGAGTGACACATACAGTATGGAAAAGAGTCAACATGGTTGATGTTAAGATGGCCACATGCCCAGAAAGTTACAAGAAGCTTTGTACATCAGAAGACACAAAGACAGATATGTATGAACTGGGACGGTGGCTTACTTCTGTCATCTTTGTGGGACCGCCTCTCACACTAAACACATCGTAGGCCTGTGTATATAAAGATCCTTATACTGTTTCTGTACCATCCGCCTTTTTATTCTGGTATTCGTACTAGTATTCGTTCTGAGTGTTAGTGGGATTAATGCAGGGAGAGGTGTTCATCTGCCAATGTAAGGGCCTCCAAATGCTTCTCACAGAGTTTAAAACTTTATTTCAAGCAGAGCAATGGTTGTTTTGTTTGTTAATAGACGAATGGGTACTTACGTGAGGGAGCATGCCAATATGAATAGGCTTTTGTTGTTTTTTGTGACTATTAGGAAGAAGTAAAGCAGGCCTTGGCATGTGAAAATGAGAAAAAGAGACACTTGAGCAGGTATATACACAGAGGTTCATCATACTGAACAAATGTGTTAACACTAGTGGTGTGTTTGATTGAGGTAGAAATGATTTGCATAGTAAATGAGTATAACTTGTATTAACAAGTATTTGGGTGCATGTGCGGTGAGGATCACAGTACTTTGTGTGAAGTAGCCTATAAGCAAGGTGTAGAACTACGAGGGCATGAAAATTCTGAAACGTTTGCGATTGGCACGAAAACAAGTGCAAACGCTAATCAGCACTGCCTTATCTCAGCCAGGTTTAGCGTACTGTAGAGGGATGAGGTTATTTAAAGGATATCTATTCAGTCCAGTGTTGCAGCTAGCCTGTGGTTAGAGTGAGAAATTAGCTCTTATAACCGCTTGGCCTTGCCTTGCCCAATAACTACGGTTCTTCTTGCACATGCATTGTGCACATCAATCTTAACAACGTATGCACATTCTTTTTGTGATGTGTGTGGTATATACTCAGAAAATGTGATGAAATTGAGGAAGATGTGATTAGAGCTAAAAATAAAATGGAAATTGCGGAAAAGGTATGTTCTTCTATATATTGTTGGGATTTCTTTTCCAATATTTGCATAAAAAGATACCTGCTAGTAAGACTGTCCCACAGGTACTCTCTGATGCTGTCAGTAGACTGGAATCAGAGATAGACTTTGAGAAGAGAATTGGAAGTAAGCATTGTGGAAGCAAGGAAAAAAGCTGAAGAATTATCAAAGGAATGGTCTGTTAATTGCAAACCAACTGCTGAAAACTTTATGAATCTGTTGTGCAGTGTTGATATTCAACAGAAATGCTGCTCTGGTAGAAAAAACTTACATTCTGAAGAACAACAGTTAGCTGAACAACATCGTATGGTATGTGCACCAGATTTCAAACCATTAGTGTCCTGAGGTAGTGGCAACTCTTTGTTTTCGAAGTTACTTAGAGTACAAGGAAACCTCCTTACATTAATTACCTCTGTAATCCTTTCCTTCAGCCATAATCAGGAAATCTTTAGTGGAACCAAGGTGTCTGTAGTATGATCTATTCATTTTTGTAGATGATGAAGGCTGTTGAAGAAGTAAGAGTTGAAGTAGATACTCTGTTTGCCAAGCATCGGGAAAGCACAAGCAGGTAAAATAGCGTAGGATTGTTAGGTTTTCGTCTTTTACTGCCAAAAGTTGAGACAATCGATATTTTTGGGAAGGTGTTATGCATTACATGACAGAAGGTGAATATCAAGCCCTGCAATGCTATAGCCCTGTCAGACTCTCAGTGAGCTAGCGAGAAACCATGCATAAATCGACGTCGTGGCCCAGCCCATCAATTACGTACGTAGCGGTCTACTGACCCACGCTTGCGTATGGGTGCTGCATACTTTTTACGCATGTGTTTCTAGTGCGCTGAGGGTTACCACTTTAGAGGGAGAAGATAGGGATGTGATAGATGAAGCATGGTTTTGTTAACACAGTGTGCTGACACCCCCGAGCCCATAAATTACTGTTGCGTATGAGACATTAACCATGATGCATTTCTATAGCCTAAAAGGCAGGTGACAATCGGTACTAACAGAGTGTAGAAGTGTACTTTATTCTACTGTGCAACCACCCTCATTATGCATTCGAATTAACTTGACCGCATTGCAAGAGAATTGACTTGGTGTTTACTTGGTCGTATGAGCAGACTTAACTCCATGTTGGTGTATGATTAACCCTCCCTCGGCGGGCGCAACGAGGGTTACGTTTGTGTCACATATTCAGCGTCGGATAAAGGTCAAAATATAATGTAGGGGTTTCTCTGAAACTGCTGTGTTCGGGAGTTACGGCGTAAAACGCGAGCGAAAAAGCCAACATGCTAATTAGAACAGGCCTACCTCAAGCAGGAGACCACGAGTAAATGCATACTTGTAGCCCAGCCGATCAGCGGTACCGCGCATGCGTAGTTCGCCGAGGGTTTGCACTTTAGTGCTTTTTTACTTGCACATTAAGTATTATGTACAGTTTTCAATTCCAGCTCTGATGAAAGAGATGAAATTGAAAGATAAACATCAAAGTGCTGTCTCCAATATTCGAAAGAGGTACATATAAATACGTATGCCGTCCGCACTCTAGCTGGAAACAGGCACGCATCAGTTTGCAACACCTACATTGTACATGTACACATCTGCCATCCTCACTCTGTAGCCAACTCTTGTATCAACGAACTTTGAATAAGATTATCGATATAAAAGGTATCAAATTATACCTGGATATAATTGTATATAGCAAATTTTAAGAAACAATATCAAGAAATAGCAGATTAACAGTGCTTGCATATAACAAATGTAGGGTAGCATCACTAGAGAGCTACTAGCTAGCATATAGCGAGGCATAGTGACCTTGAGAACCAGGGATGGTTGGTTAAAGGAGTCTTTTACCACCGGTAAACTCTCCCCACTCACCCAAGCTATCCTCACGGTGACTGCCCACCGCTCAATCTTTTATTTTGCTTTTGGTACTCTTCTCTTTTTCTCACTCTCTTTTTGCAAATGTATGCTTTGTTCTTTCTCCTTCATCTCAACTCGAGAGTCACTCAACACACTTATGTATGTACCCACTACAAACTTTCTACACTTACCAGCGTGCATGCGTTAGAATTTTACGGTACTTGGTTCATTCGTTTGTCTAACCGTCTGTCTGTCCGCTCTGCTTAATTTCGCCTTTCGCCCTGCGACATGTAAAACAAGGGATACTAGGTTACTACATAAGTATCGTAAGTAAATCAAAAACCATTTTGTCTAAAACCGCTTACCCAAAAAGTTAACCACAGCGATGTCCGTTGTTTTTTCATGACTGACACGACTGTGTTTTTATCACGAGCTGTGATATTACTACATGCACCCGGTGTAGAAAGCTGTCCATGTCAACGCTTACGCGCTTACATTACTCTTGGACAGTGATGCATGCACGGGTATCATTACAGAATAATTTTGTGCATTCCACTCCTTTGGCCTTATGTTTACATAGGTGCTCCTTTACAAAGGGAGTGCTGTGTTACGAGTGTTGCTCTTGCTTGTATATAAGTTTTTGCCATTTTTATGTTCATAGCTTAGCATTTTTCAGCAAATTCTGTTTGATTACATTTCGCCTCCACAGCCAATTGCTTAATGTTATAATATATCACTCCCGTAATATCGCTACAGGAGCATTTTTCTGCGCCAAAGGGCTTACATGTACTTTTGTGCTTTTCATATTCCCTTGTAGCTCAACCTCTGCAAATGAAACACTAAAGTATCAGTCTGAGAAAGGGGCTGAATTGCAAACTGAGAATCGAAATCTAGATCTCCAACTGAAGGAATGCAGTGAGACTTCTATGTAAGTAGTTGTAGACATCCTTGCGATTTTTCTATTTAGTGTACTTTGCGTGTAAAAACATCGCCAGTGCTTTATTCGTCATAAAGAACACTTTTGCTCATATTGCTCATATAGCACAGTTTTCAAAATGCGGCAGTACAAACAGCTGCCAAACAGGGCTTTTCAGGCAAAGCGAAGGGAGAGACGGGTACCAGAAGTGTATGTAACTGATAGGAGGTAGGCTAGCATGGCTCTGCTAGGCTAGCGGTGGCCCACGTTGGTGCATAGCCATGCGCTAGCTTTCCCACCCATGGCGTTGCGAGGAACGGCAACCGGCCTAGTAAACAGCAGCTTTCTTTACCCCTATGAGTCATAGCAGTTGTATCTTGGCCTTTGCAGAGCGTATGAGCCGCGTTGCGTCGCGGAGAGAGACCACCACCTCCGCCTCGAACCAGCTTCGTGCCTGGTCGTTGCCTTTGAATCGCGTGCAGTACAATAAATCAATTAAACGACGTGCTGTACAGTCATAAAGGTACTCGAGGCTGGTCTCGATAGGCCGTAAAGCACTCGGCTTTGCCTCGTGCTTTATGACTATCTCGACCACGCCCTCTCGTACCTTTGTATTTCACGTACAGCACTACTTAACTAATGCATACAGCGCTGACAACACCCTACTGTAATACAAAATTTCTAAAAAGAACTCTCCATGTTAGGATGTTGCCACCTTTTGTACGTATGCCTAACGATGACAATTATAGGCTTACTCCTGCTCGCCAAATAGCTCTTTGAATGCACGTTGTATACTATGAACATTTTGGGTGACCTTCAACACTGTGTACAGGAACCAAATATATACAACTGCCCACATTTATACTTTCATGTGCACCTGTATATACCAGTTACAATGTAATAGTGAAACACAGCTTATGTATGTGCCACATCTTACAGTATCGTTAAAAGACAGTTACAAGATCGGATTGAGATGCTCAATGATGAGTCAGAACACAAGGAGAGTTTAAGGTTTGTTAAAGTTCACTAAATATACATTTGTATTTAGAATTTGGTGCTGTGTTTAACCGTTCCTAGGATGCGTTTGGAGAAAGATACAGAGAGATTAAGGCAGAGTATACTAGCCTTGGAAAGCGAGCTTGAAAGAATGGCAACTCAGCTGAAGGAGAATGAAGAAAGCAATAGCCACATATGTAGAACATCAGCTCAAAAGGTTGTCATTTCTGATTGTGTGGTGTGTGAGTGTAAATATTTTCAGGCATAAACTAAGTTATGTGCGTACCTACGCTAATTTCTAGGACGAAGGACAAAGGGCACAATACTTGTGTGTTCTTGTCTATTTAGCACAATTTCTAACTGTTGCAATTTTGTTACATTTTATTATGGTAAACAGATTTCTGAATTAAAGAGTGAATGTAGGAAAGCTGAGCAACACATCCAAGTCCTAAATCAAACATTGCCAGAAGGCACAACACAACTTCAATCATATGTTACCACTGCTCAACTGCAAAGTCAGACCCTTCAGGTGTGGACAAAATCACCTACACCATGTGTTTTTTTAATAGAATTATTATGTGTCCTATGCAGGAAAATATAAAAACTTTGGAAGACAGTGTTTCAAACAAAGTTCTTCTAATAGAAGCTCTAGAGGTTAGGAGTGTCATATCCAGACCCCCTTCTAAAGAAGAAAAGGATCTGGCCACATCAAAGCATTTTTTGGTTAACAGCCTGCGTACCTAAACACGTGTGGATTTGCCTCACAAATATGTGCATGCATGGCTTGTTTTACTGTCGGTGACATGCTTCATGATCAGCGATTTACCGAAAACTTAGACTGCTGATTCTGCTGGGCAATGCCGCTGAGGTTCGCGGACAATGTCGGTTTTCTGGCCCTGTCGGGCTAGCATCAGCCACTAGCGTTTTGAACAACGCTAATAGATATTTGACCTCAGCGGGACTTCGGGCTCCACAGTGTGTTTAGATAGACAAGCCCCAGTCATTACTTATTTGCATATTGGCCTTTTTTCTACTCGTGTTTCAATGCCGCATACTTCTCGAACCACAGTGTCAGGCAAAGCTTTCATTTTTGATACCTACCGTACTATGCTCTCTCTGCTCGAAGCCGTTGCTGTCGCTCATGGTCGGCGTCGTTCCCCTTAAGTGCGCTGACAGTCAGACAGAATGACTCGCTGCGCATGTTGGCCGAGGGGTAGTAGTATAGTAGATGATCTGGCATTTTTCTTGGACAGTCAGATGTTCGGGGGTTAGAAGATGACAATCAAGGCAATTATTGTGTATGATGAGGAGAAAGATCTATAATAATGTGACGGAGGTGAGTAAACCACCATGCTGTGTCCGTTAACACATTATTATTTCTTGGCAGTGACTGTTTGCTTTGGCTTTGATTTCTATTTCACCTTGTTATGCTTCACATGCATCTTACACAGTTTGGAGGTTGGTGTCTTGGTAGTTTTAATTTACCCCCCCCTGTATGATCTGTATATACATAATGAGTTAAAGTGTTGAGGGTTGCCTTTGCTTTTGTTTTGTTGTTGAGGCTTTGACCCCTACCAGAGTCAGTTGATTAGCGCGACTCTCATAGAGGAGCGAGTGTCGTGGGTTCATCCCACATAGGGCAGTCTTCTTCTTTCCTTGGAAAAAAGAGTAGGTGTACGTTGACTTGTTTGCTTTGCGGTTAACTTTTACCGCACTGTGTTTGTCATAACAGTGCATGATTGAAAAAAATAATTCTTATCTTATGAGGTGCTGGCGGATCACCGAACTCCACTCAGGAGTCGCGAACGCCCTTCCCAAACAACTTAAAAGAAACAATAGCGAAAAGGGTTTGTCTAGTTTGAAGCGCAGTTAGTTCAGCAACAGGGCTGAAAATCAACCACGGGAAACAAGAAGACGCCTTGTACGCAACATAATCTCATTCCGCACGCAATTTCTCCTGTATCTTTAGAGGTGGTAGTTGTGTGACTAGTGTTTGGGGAGTGACGTAAGCTGTTATTTTTATATCCTTTCCCATTAGTTTCTGTCGATCACGTACCCCAGAAATGGCTTAAATTTTTAATGGTCATTATTGTTGTGTCCAGTTGTTGTCGTTTTACCACGATAACATCTGCACGCAGTGTGAATCCCATTTAAAGGACCAAGAAAGAGTGTATTAATGGGTTGTAAGAACATGTTCCATGTCAAAAAAACAACGACATTTATTCCAAAATAAGTGTGGCTACAGGT